CAGCCGTGGGCAAACTACGGCCCGCGGGCTGGATACGGCCCGTTTGAAATGGATAAAACTAAAAAAAAAAAAAAAAAACCCGTACCCTTTTATGTAATGATGTTTACTTTGAATTTATATTAGTTCACACAAACACTCCATCCATGCTTTTGTTCCGGCCCTCCGGTCCAGTTTAAGAACCCATTGTGGCCCTCGAGTCAAAAAGTTTGCCCACCCCTGCTCTATACACTGAGCCAAATCGGCTAGGGCAAAATGTGTTCATTCTAAAAGTATTTCTTCTACATTCATTCTACACATATGCCAAGAATGGTTCAGGTGCTGGGGATACATTTGAGTAAGGCATTTGTGGTCCTTCTTCTTGTAGAATTGAAGGTTTCCTAAGAAAACAAGTACAATAATCTCAGATTGTCACCATTAGGAAACACACAGGTGACAAGATAGAGAACAGCAGAGAGGTGCCTGTGTAGATAGGCTGGTCAGGGAAGTCCTCCCTATACAGTTGATGTATCAGCTGAGTGCTGAAGGATAAGGATTTAGCTATGAAAGAGCCCAGGGAGCCCAGCCAGTGTGACTCAGTGGTTGAGCGTTGACTTATGAATCAGGAGGTGATGGTTGGATTCGTGGTCAGGGCACATGCCTGGGCTCGATGCCCAGAAGGGAATGTGTAGGAGACAGCCAATCAATGATTCTCTCTCATCATTTTTGTTTCTATCTCTTTCTCCCTCTCCCTTCCTCTCTGAAATCAATAAAAATATATTAAAAAAGAAAAGAAAGAGCCCAGGAAAGAATACCCTGGGTAGGGAGCAGCGGAGTGCAGAGATCCTGAGGTAGGAAAAAGCTGGGTGTGTTTAAAGGACAGAAAGGAAGCACCTGGAACAATATATAGCACATAATAGACACTCAGTAAGTATTTGTTGAATTAAATATAAATAAAGTGCAGAAAGGAGGCCCAGGGGGCTGGATCACCTGGAGTTAGGGTGAGGCTACAAGATGACACGGACAAACCACATGAGCTTCTCAGGTGTGAAGCCTCATGTCCAGTCTTCCTCACTCAAGCCATGGTCTTACTCTCAGCCCGAAGGGCTCCCCATTCCTAAGCACCTGTCTCCTCCACTAGGCAGATGGCCCTTTCCTACCTCACAGCCACAACTACTGCGGTGACCACTGCTGTGAGCATGAACATGTTGACAAAGGTACTCCTGGGGCTGCTGTGGGCATGGTGGCCACCAGGGGGCAGCAAAGTCCTAGGGAGAACTAGGCATTGCCCCAGGCTGGGTGAGTTGGGGTGTAACCAGAGCCCAGCCCAATAGTGGGAAATGCAGCAGGGCTGTCCCCAGGTTGGTCTTTCTCAGGCCTCTGAGGGAGTTTGGGTTCCCAGATGGGTGTCTGGGTGTGTGGCAGTAGCCCTTGTTTTGTAGTCCGTAAGTCCCTCCGCTCTCACCTTGCAGCGAGCCTCAACAACTCCCATTGTTCCTTTTCTCCAACAGAAAGCTCCACCCTTGGTGGCCCGCTGGGTGCCCTTTGCTGCTGTAGCTGCTGCTAACTGTGTCAATATCCCAATGATGCGACAGCAGTGAGTACAGGGGTCCCCTTTCCTCCTTACAAGCCACAAGGTCAACAGGGAAACCAAGGCAAGAGACCAAGGCAGTGGGTGGCTTCTTGGAGCTGGGGTGGATGTGGGGGGAGGCTGCCAGGCTGTGCCTCTGAAGGGTCCCTGAGGATCGGCTACTCTAATAGTGATGGCCACTCCAATACGAGTGGCGGGTAATTTAGGTTTAATCTGTGACGGGTATGTGGGAGCCATTTTTTGGATAGTGTGGGATGGAGACATAAGCCTGTGCATTTTATACTCAATCATGTTCTTTCAACTGCAACTGTATTTAAGTTGTGAGCACTGCCTACTTCCAAAGCCCTGGGGATGGTTTACAGAATGAAATGCAGCAGAGCGAGGTGTCCAAAGATAGAACAGAGCCAAGAAGCTTTGAAAGAAGCCGGAGGAATAGGTCGATGTTTTCCAGGTACCCAGCTCTAAGAGTAGTTAAAAGGAGAAAGCTGTTGTGTCTCTCTGTTCTTATTTCTTTTTTTTTTAATTAAAAAAATATTTTTATTGATTTCAGAGAGGAAGGGAGAGGAAGAGAGGGAGATAGATACATCAATGATGAGAGAGAATCATTGATCGGCTGCCTCCTGCACGCCCCCTACTGAGGATCGAGCCCGCAACCCAGGCATATGCCCTTGAACGGAATCGAACCTGCGATCCTTCAATCTGCAGGCCAACACTCTATCCACTGAGCCATGCCAGCTAGGGCAGTTCTTATTTCTTGACTAGAGAAAGCATAGATGTTCCTCTGTTATAAAATTGAATGATGTAATAGATGTAAAGTCCTCAAAATAACACCTAGAACATAACAAGTGCTATATAAATGTTAGCTTTTATTGCTGCTGTTGTCATCATTGCCTTCATCATCATCACCAATTTCTACAGCCACATTTTCTTAGAGCAGCTAGTAAGTGGAAATGTGTCACGTTGCCCTTGCTGAGAGCACACTACGGGATAGCTGTGCATACACATTGCTCCTCTACTCTCTCCCTTCCCCATCCTGTTTCTCCTTTCCATCAAATGAATAAGTCCCAGCCATCTACCTGGTTTTGGGGCGAATACTGTCAAGAACTGGCCTGAGAATAATAACCAGAGCAGCTACTGTTTGTGGTGCAGCCGCTCCGTGTCAGACACGGGACTAAGCACTTTGCAGGCATTTTCCTGTTAAAACACTGAGTCCTATGAAGCGGGTGTCAGGATTGTCTCCATTTTGCAGTTGAGGATAACTGAGTCTTTAGAAGGATTAGGGACTTGCTCATGATCAGACACACTCTGCAGTTTCAGGATTCAACCTAGGCATTCTGGGCTCAGGACTAGCTCTCTTAGCCAATGCCCTAGATCACTTCAGATACCACTCGCTGGAGTGCAGGGGAAGGTCACAGGGCAAGGCTACGGAGGTGGCTCCCTAGAGCGTGAGCGCCCTGGCCTTGGTCCCCTGGCCTTGGTCCCCTGGTGTGTCACATGGCTGGCAGGCTCCCAGCACCCCTTTCGCAAATCCAGCATCTCCTGTCTGTGTCTAGGGAACTCATCCAAGGCATCTCCGTGAAGGACAAAAATCACAATGAGCTTGGTCATTCCCGGGTGAGCAGATGTCTCCCTTTGGGTGGGAGGAGGGAACTCCCTTTCATACCCTGTCCTGTCCTTAGTGGTCAGAGCAGGATCTCCCCGACTCCACTCTCATTCTCCTCAGTTCCCCCCACATTTCTCTGTTTGGGACATTTCTCATGTCCTTTGTGCTTCATTTCTAGTCCTGAAGCTGGCTGGGTAGGTGAAGGTTGGGAGAAGCCACTCAGCCCCTGGCAGGTCCATCCCTGCCCCTTTACCAGCTCAGACTTGGCTGTGACCCTGACTCTGGCCCAGCCGTGGATATTGGATAAGGTCATTCCTAACAACTTGCTCTTTTCTGCCCTCAGAGAGCTGCGGCCATAGGCATCACCCAAGTGGTTATTTCTCGGATCACCATGGCAGCCCCTGGCATGAGTAAGATGGGGGCCCCTGGAGCACATGATAGAGGCCTCAGCCACACTCAGCTTTCGGGTGGGAGGTGGGACCTCAGCTTCTACAGCGATGCTTCTCATACTGGTTTGCTTGAGTGCTGAAAGCCACAGGAGAACCACACTGTAGTTCTTGGAACATCAATTGATGAGACTTTTTTTTTTTTTTAATATATTTTATTGATTTTTTACAGAGAGGAAGGGAGAGGTATAGAGAGTTAGAAACATCGATCAGCTGCCTCCTGAACACCACCTACTGGGGATGTTCCCGCAACCAAGGTACATGCCCTTGACCGGAATTGAACCTGGGACCCTTCAGTCCACAGGCCGACGCTCTATCCACTGAGCCAAACCGGTTAGGGCTGATGAGACTTTTTAAGTTATTTTTATTCAGCACATATTTCTTAAGTACCTTCAATGTACTGGACACAGTGTGGGGTGCCGGGGAGACAGTGGTAGCGAAAAAGAATCCCCTGCCCTGGTTGTGCTTCCAGCAGGGGCATGTTACAGGGGAAGATAAAAAGTCTGTTTACATGAGCTCTCAGAGATAGTTTTGAGTTTTGAGGACACTTTGGGCCTGGGCACGTGTTCTATTGTTGCAGGTGTGCTTTGGGAAGCACCCTTCTGCTGGGACTTGGGGGACCAGCCAGAGTGGCCATTCTCCCAAATGAAAAGTATTTTCTGGAGCTTCTGTGGAAGGAGGGAGAATCATTCAGTCCCTGATCTGACTTCGGAAAGGGGTCTTAGGGAGAGTCTTACAGGTCCCCCCGGCTTCTCCCTGGTTTCTTTCAGTCTTATTGCCAATCGTCATGGAAAGGCTGGAGAAACTGCCCTTCATGCAGGTGAGTGGGGTTTCCTTTTGCCTCTTCCCTGCCCAGAGTCCTCCCACCACACCTGTGCCTGGGAGCTCCTGGTCCTCTCCTCCTTCCCTCTAGCTGCCAGTCTTCATCTCACTGAAGTAGGGCTCATCATCCCAGTCCCCCCTGGCTGCCCGCTTCAGACAACATAGCGGGTTGCTTGGCCTTGTCTACAGAGAGCAAGGAGAGCCCTTCTCCTCTCCGTCAAGGCCAGCAGTCTTAGACCTGAGGCTGGTTGGTTGGTCGCGGGGCAGGCGTGGGGTTCACCTTAAGGTATGTAAGTCCCATGCGGGTTTTCCTTTTGTTTGTTTTTGTGCAGAAAGTCAAGGTCCTGCATGCGCCGTTGCAGGTTATGCTGTGTGGGTGCTTGTGAGTAACATGTTTTCCTGGTTTGGGTTCTGTGGTAGCTGGGGCACCAAGGTCTGTCTTCTTATGTCACCTGTGTTGAAGAACATGCACTCCTTTGCCTGACTTCCACAGCGCTGGAGCTCAGTACACCTGTGATCCATCTAGAGCGCTCTCACCTCATCTCTTTGGAGGAAACCAGGCTAGCTAGGCTCTGTGCACACATGCGCATGGAAGGCAGAGAGCTTGGGTACCCTCCTGTCCCAGGGTCTTCCCTCTGACCTTCAGTCTGGAGAAGAGACAAAAATGATGAGACAAATGGGAGATATCTGTAATACTATCAGCAATAAAAACTTTATTTCAAAACAATAAAATCTCAATTATGAAAATTTAAAAAAAACCAACTTTATTTCAAAAGAAAAAAAAAAGAGACAATCCCACCATGAAAAAGAAGTGATAGTTATGCGACATGACAGAGGTGTTAGCTAACACTCAGATCATCATGTTGCGATATGTGAATGTATCAAATCAACACCTTAAACTTCCACATTGTTACATGTCAATTATATCTCAATAAAATAAATAGATAAAATACACGAAGAGACAAAAAATGTGAGACAGCCTGGGGCTGTCAAGCATCCCAACCTCGCACGGGAGGAAACCACGTCATGGCAGCATTCTTAGGTGCCTGCCATCGACTGGACATGTCCTACCATTAATCATGCTTCCCAGGACTACAGGGCTAATGACGGCACCAACAACTAACACATATTGAATGTGCCCGCTGTGCTAGTGCTGCACATCTATAATTTCACTTAATTTCCCCAGCCCTGGAGGCATAGATGCCATCATCTTCTTTTACAAAAGGCTTGGAGTGATGAAGACACTTGCCCAATTGCTGGAGCTGAGATTGGTCCTCGGCGACATGCTAAACTTCTGTTAATTGAATTACCACGGGTGGGCAGTTCCCACAGGTTGGGTGCTGCACATAGGTTGTTATTGCATTGAATCCTCGCAGTGACGCTGCAAAGCAGACACTCTTGTCCTCCCTCTGCTGGCCCAGAGGTAACGTGCCCCAGACTGTACAACTTCTAAGTGTCAAAGCTGTGATAGGAACTCAGGTCTGTTAGACTCCCAAGGCCTGTGAGACATGGTCCTGGACCTGCATCATCTGAAAACTTGTTAGAAGTAAAGACTCTCAAGCCTTTCCCGAGACCTACTGAGTCAGCATCGCATTTTTCTAAGCCCCTGGAGTTATTTGTATGCACATTGAAGTTTGATCAACCCTGCCCCTTACTGTTCTCCAACAGTCCAGATGTTCAGTGAATAGAGGAGCAGGGCCTTTGGATTCACACCCCTCACTGCTTTCCCTGCATCTCAGTGGATGCATGTGGTCTTAAGGGCTGCTGCCTGCACTCCCTAGTGACTTCATGTGCTTGAACAACAGGGGTGGATCGGGGTAAGGGATGAGGGGTGGAGGCTGGCTGATTTTAATCCGTGCTAGAATGAGTATCCTGGCACCTAGAGACCAGGAGAAGGGTTGAAGGGAGAGGAGTCATGGAGCCAGCTGGGAAGGGAGGCCGAGTGAATGGGCATCTCCCCCATCCTTTAGGGGGCTCAGGCATGGCCTGTGGGGAAACGCCCCCTAATGCTTTGGTTTCTCCTTTTTTCCAGCCTCGTCTTCATGGTGCCAGTGGCATGTGGGCTCTTCCCACAGATATGGTATCAGCTATTCCTTCCTTCCTTTGTTTTACCAAATGTCCTGTCCCTACTCTCCCTGCCCTGCTTGCTGTCCGGAAGGAGAGAGGGAGGGGCAAGAAGGGCAGCATTTGTCCAGGGACAAGTGCCTGTCAGCCTAAACTCTGGGCCTCTTTACTCTGCGTGAATGGTAAGCCAGAACACGTCTCCAAAGGGATGAACTGCTTCCAGGGCAGCAAGGGCTGCCTTGGAGAGAAAGTGGGGGAACAACAAGAGACTCTGTCCTGCTGGTTGGGTTATTAGATAAATCTCCCCTGGCTGGACCCAGGTCCTTATTCTGGCTCTTATTTGCCAGAGGGTGGATGAATTGAACCTCTTCATCCACCATGTCATGGAAGGGCAGCATCAGGTCGGTGGGAGGACGGACTTGTTCCAGGAGACCAGGTATGAATGCAGACCTGGAATATATTCCGAGGAGATGCCACTCTCCCCCTCCTTAGTGCTCTTAGCTCAGTGGTCATCTGTTAGATGTCTCCTGTGTTCCGAGCACTGTGCCTGTAATCTTGTGGAGAAGGTGGAAGTTGAGCACCAGGGAGAAGGAAGACAGGCCTGAGTAGAGGTAAAAGCAACATATTGTGTTGTACAGTAGCTCTTACTAATTCTGAAGGAACAAATGGGGAAGGGGCTTTTTAGAGGTGGTATTCGAGTTGGTATCGAAGGGTAATTTGCTGCTGTCTAGGTGGCATACTCATAACCTTCTTCTCTCTCCTCAGTGAACTGCCCGTTTCCTACCTGGAACAGGAGCTCCAAGACACCATCAAGGCCAAGTATGGAGAACTTGTGCCTTCTGTCTACTTCAATAAGGGTCTCTAAATGTCCCGCCTCAGCAAGGACCAGTCTATACCAATATTCACCAGCTCCTCCTTAGCTGCCTGTGCCCTCATTCCTCTTTGCCAACAGGGCCTAAGGCTCCGGTGTACTTGGGGGTGTATGAGGCAGCAGAATTCCTCATGCTTCTACCCAGGCACTTGGTTTATTGGGCTCCAGGGGATGAAAGTGAACAAGGGGCGGAAGACCAAGTCCTCTGTCTGCTTCCCCCTTCCATCCCATGGAAACCAGGAGCTGAGGCCCCCTCTGGGAGAAGTTGCTGGGACCAGAGGGAGACATTCAGCAAACCGATTGGAAAAATTAGGAAAACTTTGGGATTCTGGTACCAACCAGGATTGGGAAGAACCCCTGGGACAAAGAGAAGTTCCTACTCTTCTTTTCTCTTCCCTCTGTGTCATCTTCTCTCAAGCCATGAAACCTTTACCCATGTAGTTCTAGCTAACGCAGGAAGTATGTGTGTTGGGGGGAGGGAGGGCTGGTCTGTGTTGGGGCTCATCTCCACTCTACCCCATTCTCCTCATTGCCCCTGTCAAAAAGGTTCTTTGGGAGTGCTGCTAACCTTGAGTTTTATCAGACACCTGGGAGTTCTTAGTGCTGAAAAAAGGTCATTGTATGAGGCAGCAGAGTTCCATGGTGCTCAAGCCCTGTCTATAGATACTTTGTTCTGCTCTAAAATCATGTCTGATTTTATTTCTGTGTTTAAAAGATAATTCTGCTCAGCCTGTATGGCTCAGTGGCTGAGCATCAACCTATGAACCAGGAGGTCACGGTTTGACTCCTGGTCAGGGCACATGCCTGGGTTGTGGGCTCAATCCCCAGTAGGGGGCCTGCAGGATGCAGCCCATCAATGATTCACTCTAATCATTGATGTTTCTATCTCTCCCTCTCCCTTCCTCTCTGAAATGAATAACACACACACACACACACACACACACACACACACACACACACACACATCTAGAATGGCTGTGGCTCTGGTCACCTTGAAAAAAAAAAAGATAATTCTACTAACTGTGAGTAAAAAGGATCTATGTAGGCATCAACCACACATTGTAATGGGTATAATTTCCTGGCTACCTCCCTTCTTCAGCCCATTCGGTTAAATACCAAAGACTGGTGTGTACTGACTAGGAAAGGGAAGTTTATTTGGACGCCTGTAAGAGAAAACCAGCCAGGACCAAAGAGCCTTCAAGGACACACAGCAAAGCACAGTCACTTGCCCTTTCCAACTTGGCTGCTGTAGGTGATTTCTCACCCTCCTTGGGGGACTGTTGTGGCATACCTGGGGTCAGTGTCTGTCTGAGCTTTGTCTAGTAGAATTTACTGACTGTTCAAAGATACCACTGTGAATTGAATAAATTTCTTCAAAGCACAACGAACTGTCTGCAGCTGAGTTAATAACACCTGGATGGAAAATAGGATCTGGACTGACTTTGGCCTTGGCCTGGAGGGAGGGCAACAACTTTAAGGGGAACCTACCTGTCCGAAGCCTGGAAGCCATTGCTCATCTACCTTATTACAAGGGAAAACCCCACCTGTCTGCTGGAAGCTCCAGAGAGCTCCCAGAATGGGAGCTGTGTTGCCCCCGAGCAGGAGTTGGCAAACCATGGCTCAAGGTTTTAAATGGCTGTAAAAAGGAAGAAAAGGATATGTGACAGAGACCCAATGCATGTAACATGCAAAACCTAGAGTATTTACTCTCTGGTCCTTTACGCAAAAAGTTTTTTCTACTCTGGAAAAATAGCTCTAAAAAATGCACCAGGAGCACCTGTTAAAACAGTTCATATGGCTTCCTCTTCCAGATTTTTAAATTATGTGGGTCTGGGGCAGAGCCTTGGGATTTACACTTCTGGTAATTTTCCAGTGGTGATTCTACATACTACACTTGAAGGACCATTGCTGTAATGAGAAGGGCCTCCATTCTGCAGTCATAATACTGGCTGCAATTTACTTTTTCCCTCTATTTAAAAAAAATTAAAATGTAATCCATCTCACATAAATTCATCCTATTAAAGTGTACAAATTAGTGATTTGTAGTATACTCAGCAAAGCTGTACAACCATAATCATGATCTAATTCCAGAATTTTTTCATTACCCCCAAAAGAAACTATGAATTAAGTCACTCCCCTCATCCCCCAGCCCCAACCCTTCACAATCCATAATCTACTTTCTCTGTCTCTAGTTTTGCCTGTTCCGGACATTTCATATAAATGGAATCACACTGTGTGTGGCCTTCTGTATCTGGCTTCTTTCACTTAGTATAATGTTTTCAAAGTTCATACATGTTATAATGTACAATTTGATTTTAGCTGCTGTTGGAGCAGAAAGGTCTGTATCTTTGAGTTAGTTTTCTTAGGATAAGAGATTTGGCTTCAGCTTTGCCCACTTCCAAAGACAAATTGGGAAATCCTTACCAGAGCTCAGAAGCAGTTTGACACTGATGTTCTTTCAAAAACCAACCATCTTTCCCTTTCCTTCCCAGTTTCTTAAGCCTCCTGGCATTCCTCCTCTCTTCACAGATGATTACTCTTCGGAAAAGTCTGGAGTATGTAGTGGCTACAGTTCAGAGGCACTCTGAAAAGTATTCACTCAGACTGCATTTCAGCGCCATTTTGTAAGGCCTCTGCTTTCTTTCAATTGGCTCTTGGGGGGTGTGGAAATAAAGTTGGTGAGAGTGACTAAAATGCCTTGGTGTGGGCAGTGCTAATCCAGACTAAGTGTTTGTCCTGTCCAGTAGCTCAGTTTGAGCTCTCAGGTAAAGGGAGAAAGGGAAGTTGGGACAAAATCCTGTCTGCCAAATTGAAGCCATTGGGGTTTCCTAATGATGATAATACCTGGCCTTTATATGGCCTCTGTAACTCTTCGATGCCAGGATTAAGACCCTCTGTATGAAAATAATTGGGTCCTTGCTTAGTACTCAATTTTTAAAAATTACATGAGTCTCCTTTTCCCCCCATTGACCTCTCCCCTGCTGCCCCCACCCCCCCAGCACATGCCCTCACCCCCCCAATCTGTGTCCATGGGTTATGCTCATATGCATGCATACAAGTCCTTTAGTTGATCTCTTACCCCCTCACTCCCCACCTTCCCTCCTAGGTTGGACAGTTTGTTCGATGCTTCTATGACTGGTTCTATTTTTGTTCATCAGTTTATGTTGTTCATAATATTCCACAAATGAGTGAGATCATGTAATATTTATCTTCCTCTGACTGGCTTATTTTGCTTAGCATAATGCTGTCCAGGTCCATCCATGCTGTTGCAAATGGTAAGAGTTCCTTCTTTTTTATAGCAGTGTAATATTCCATTGTGTAGATGTACCACAGTTTTGTTTTGTTTTTAAAGATACATTTCTTTATTGATTTCAGAGAGGAAGGGAGAGGGGGAGAGAGATAGAAACATCAATGATGAGACAGAATCATTGATTGGCTGCCTCCTGCACACCCCCTACTGGGGATCGAGCCCACAACCCGGGCATGTGCCCTTGCCAGAATTGAACCTGGGACACTTCAGTCCGCAGGCTGATGCTCTATCCACTGAGCCAAACCAACTGGCTAGAGCAATGTACCACAGTTTTCTAATCCACTCATCTGCTGATGGGCGCTTAGGCTGTTTCCCAATCTTAGCTATGGTAAATTGTGCTGCTGTGAACATAGAGGTGCATATATCCTTTCTGATTGGTGTTTCTTGTTTCTTGGGATATATTCCTAGAAGTGGGATTACTGGGTCAAGTGGGAGTTCCATTTTTAATTTTTTGAGGAAACTCCATACTGTTTTTCACAGTGGCTGCACCAGTCTGCATTCCTACTAGCAGTGCAAGAGGGTTCCTTTTTCTCCACATCCTCTCCAGCACTTGTCGTTTGTTGATCTGTTGATGATAGCCAGTCTGACAGGTGTGAGATGGTACCTCATTGTCGTTTCGATTTGCATCTCTTGGATGATTAGTGACTTAGAGCATGTTTTCATATGTCTCAGTACTCAATCTTTATTTATCCCCTATGGAGCTTGATTGTGGAGTAGATAAATTGCTAAGAAACTTGAGATTGACAAAAATACTTGTCACCTTTTGCAGCACTTGGGAAAGCAGGATCAAGACAGAGGCAGAACTATGGATATTCTTATGTTGGGGCAAAACCAGTTTTCTTCACTCTTACCTGTTGCCCACTTTGCCACCATTTAAGCCAAGAACAAACTCCCTGTGGGCTCAGGCATAGGGCCAGACTCTATAATGCTTTGAGAGGAAAATGACAGCTACAGGTAGCTGGTTTCTCTGTCATTTTACTATCATTGATTAAGTTCATAGTTGGGTCCTGTACAGGATGCTGTAGGGATTTCTTAGGAAATGAGTAAGACTTGGTGTGCTGTACAAAAAGCTGCAAATTTAGTAGGAGGGGTCAGCCAGGCAGATCCAGATTAGATACGCTGTGGGGGGAGTGTTATGTGAATCCGGAAGAAGAAACAAGGGGGTGGGAACTAGGAGTTTGTATGTGTAGTGTGTAAACGAAGTTAAGTGTATTGTGTAACACAGCACATTGAGCATCTCCTAAGTGTACCAGTGTGAGCAGAATGTGTGGGTGGTAGGTGAGATAAAGAGAAGTATGCAGAAATCAGGACACAGGACCATACTGAGAAGTTTGGACTATATATCCTGTAGGGAGGTGGTTGTTTTTTTTTGGGGGGGGGGGTGTTAATCCTCACCCAAGGATATTTTTTCATCGATTTTTAGAGAGAGTGGAAGGGAAGGGCGAGAGACAGAGAGAAACATCGATGTGAGAGAGACACGTTGATTGATTGCCTCCCCACAATCCGAGGTAGGTGCAACCCGAGGCAGGCACCCTTGACCAGAATCAAAACCAGGACTCTTCAGTCCACTGGCCGATGGATGCTCTATCCACTGAGGGAAAGCCATGAGACAAAAACGGTGTTGTGTGTGTGTGTGTGTGTGTGTGTGTGTGGTAGAGCACCCTTGTGGTGGTGTGTGAAAGGAGACCATTGTGTTTAGCCAGAAGAGGAGAACATGGATGAAAGCCTTTGGGGTGGATTTCAGAGCTACTTTTGTGGTAGAGGGACTAGAATCTCGTCCCTGGAACTTGTGGTGACAAAGCACTGTGCCTCAGGCAAAGGCACTGTCTCCTAGGAAATGCCAGTGGCCCCAAGCTATTGCTTGGGCAGTTTGAGACCAGCAGAGGGACCCTGGTACTGAGGCTGTGCTTCAAGACAAAAGATATCAGAACATTTTTAGATTGCAGTTGTTTTATTCTTTAGGAGCGCCCGGCTACCTTCTTAAAAAACAAAACAAACATTTGCCAACACCATTTCGAATCATCACACTCTTTCTCTTTCTTCGCTAAACTGTGGAAACCTAGTACTTCCGCCACACTCAAGATGGCTACATCCGATTAGACTTTTCAATACCACGCGTTGGAGGAGGCCCCGCCCCCGGCCGGAGCGGCTTCCGACACTCCGCATTGACACGGCCCGCAGCACCCAAGATGGCCCAGCTTCCTCTTACTTTTCATTGGCTGGATCCTTATAGTTTTCGGTCTTCACGGGGCGGGACTTCAGTAGGGGGCGGGACTTAGCTTTGATCGACAGACATTTGGATGAATGGACGCAGGGCAGGGGCCAATGAAGCGCTGGAACTGGAGAACCTCCCAGTGTTTGGGAGGGTGTGTTGGCCGGGGTGGAGCCGAGCCGGAAGCGGGAGGGGAGAGCGAAACAGGAAAAGAAGGGAAGAAGGAAGAGGAGGAAAGAGGTGGAGAGGGAGGAGGAGGAGGGTGGTGGCGGCGCCGTGGCGGAGGAGCAGGAGCCGGAGGGGGATGGAGAGGAGAAGGCTCCTGGGTGGCATGGCGCTCCTGCTCCTCCAGGCGCTGCCCAGCCCCCTGTCAGCCAGGGCTGAACCCCCGCAGGTAAGGGGGAGGGGGCGTCCGGGCCCGGCTGGGAGCCTGGGGGTCGTCGAGGCCCGGCTGGAGGAGGCTGGAGACGGCCTCGCTGCTAGCTGGAGGGGCTGAGGGAGTGCTGTTGCCAGGAGTTGAGGGGTCCGGAGAGGGACCCCTATGCGTGGAGGGGCCAGGACCTCGGGGGGCGTCGGGGTGTCGCTGAGGGACACCTGTTTTGGTTTCTGGCAGGTCGGCAGAGGCGTGGTGCCAAGCGAGTGCGGGCCTTTGAGACGGCTGTTAGGTCAGGTGGGCCGGGACAGTGGTGCCAGGCGGGGGCATGTGGGGGGCATTCGTGTTCCCCGTGGAGCAAGTCTCCAAGCAGCGGCGCCGCGTGCCCGTCCGCGGGGGTCGGGTCCGTGGGCTCCCGAGCCAGCCAGAGGGGGGAGGGGCTGAGGGTATTTAGTTCAGGCTGGAACAGGGGCAAGTTCTGAGGGCACCATTTTTAGTCGTGGTTGGAGGCAGGACCCTTGGGAGGCAGGTGGGATGCAGTGGACCGGGACCCCTGAGGAGGGGGGTTCCAATAAGCTTTGACTGTTCGGCGGGCCGGCCGGGGAGAGCCCGTCGCTGACGCTGACCGGGGCTAGCCTCCTGGAGCACCCCAAATGGAGCTCTTCTTGCTGGGTGGCTGGCTTTTTATCCAGGCAGAGAAGCTGCTTGTGTTGATTCCAGCTCTGGCTGGCGTTTCGAAACCTTAATGGGAGCATTACTCCTGGTGCCAAGTTGGGTGGGGTGCACTAGGGGTAATCACCCCTCCTTTGCTTGCGTCTGGCAAGGCTTTCCCATTCTATTTTCTTCACTTTCTCTTCCCTTCCCTGTCTTTTCAGAAAGACACACACATGATGGCAGAATCTATACAGCCCCTAGCACTTGAACCTTGCGTTGTGATCAAGAGTAGAAGCAGAGTCCCAGCAAACATACTTATCTTTCCCATAGGAGTTCACGGGCTTGTCGATTTACATGCTGTATGCATCTTTGTTCTGTCCATTAGTATTCTTTATTTTAAAGATTAAAGGAGGTGAAATTCACATAAGCTATTTAAAACCATGTAACCATTTTAAAGTGAAAAATTCAGTGGCATTTAGTATATTAACAATGTTGTGCAATCACCGCCTCTGTCTAGTTTCAAAACATCCCAAAAGAGAACCCCCCTACCCATTAAGCAGTCCCCCCCTGTTCTCCACTTCCCCCGTCCCTGGCAACCACCAATATGCTTTCTGTCTCTATGTGTTTACCTATTCGGAATATTGCATATAAATGCAATTCTACAGTGTGGCCTTTTGTGTCTGGGTTCTTTCCCTTAGCATACTGTTTTCCAGATTCATCCATGTTGTAGCATGAACCAGTACTTAATTATTTTTTATGGCTGCGTAATACTCCACTGTATGGCTATACCACAATTTGCTTATTCATTTTTCGGTTGAAGTGTCCTGTTTTTTTCTTCAGAGTATTTTTATGTGTATTAGAAATAACACGTGAACGTAATAGAGCTCATTTTCTGGGCCAGTATATTCCCTTTCCTAGGTCGGAACTCTTTCGTGTTAGGCTTTGTTGGGGTTCTTTATTTTCCCAGTTAAAAATCAAACTAGCAGGAGAAATAAATTTTCTTTGTCCATTAGAAAAGTTACCACCATTTGGACTGGTAAAATTAAGTATAAATGCTGACAGAACAAAACATAGAACAAACTGTTGTTTTTCCTTTGCACCTGTCTATTTCTGTCTCTCCAAAGGCTGTTTCCCAGTTAGTAATAAATAAATAACATTGCTAAAGGGTTGATTTAGGAATATTGAGCCTTCGGAGATGGGTGCCCAGGGTCTGTGGACTGCCTCACCCTATTGGAGAGGAGGGGTAGACCTCATAGTCAGTGGTGGGAAACATCCATTTCTTTAGCAGGAGGAAGAATGGCAAGTGGAGGTTCCTTACCATGTCATGCAAGCCTGGGAGAAAATGTGGGAGAGGATCTTCAAGTGCCATTTCCCAATTGCAGTTTGTTGAGCACAGGCCATTTTCTTATCATTTCTCTGGCACCTCCAAAGCTTACTTTGGGGACAGGGTGGCTTTTGTACTTTGTTCCATTTGGATGGACGCACTGACCAGCAGCTATTATGTGGTTACAGTTCCTGCAGAGAAGGGAAGGTTTCTGTAATGAGTGGTCTCCCTCTTCCTGACCCCTTCCCCCATACACCTCCACCCCTACTTAATGCCTTGTCTCTTTGTCAGAGATACTGTACTAGTATATCTGTAGTGAGATTTGTGTTTTGAATTTTAACTTTTGGAACGGAAGCTGTTATATAATTATTAACTCTGAATCTACCACAATTTAGCCAGTTTGGTCTTTGTTGATTTTTGGCTTGTAGAAATCAGTAAAGTAAAAGATTCAGAGACCATTTTGGCCCAGGACCTACTTCAGGTACGCACTGTCCTTATTTCAACAAGTGACTTCCAGCTAACTCTGAATTGAGGAGGACTCTCCACATTTACTCCTTGTTGAAATGGTGTGAGTACCTTATTGCATTTTCCCCCCTTGAAATGGCTCTATTAAGTACAACTTTTTTAAAATATGCATTTAATATAAGAAAAACATGATATTTAGGTGGCTTGCTTTCCCTCTTAATAGCTCTGCCCTGGAACAGCCATTTCTTGGCTATCCTGGCCCAGGAAAGTTCATCAGCTTAGTTCACTTCTGTGGTTAGGAACTTAGACTTAACTCTCCTATACGTTACTGCAACTCAGTTATGAGTCCTTGAATCCATAGGAAAAAAAAAAAACAGTAAGGTCTCCAAATAGTAAGGCCTTGGCCTTTTGTCTCTTCCAGTTAAATTATGATTGAGATACATAGATTTCTTTTTTTCTCTTTTTGATTAGGCTTAACCAGAAAAGTCTGGCTATATCATCTAAAATAAAGATTTAGTAAAAAAGTATTTTTCCATGAAGTGACTCGACCAATGGCCTTCTGGGCACAAATCTCTAGAGATGCATTACTTTTCCTCTGCCACACTTACATTGAATTGTTT